TTAAATAAAATAATACAAGTAAATAATACAAATATAATAAAAAAAAATTATATCTAAAATATATGTAATTTTATATAATTTAAAAAGACAAAAAAAACAATAAAAATGACAAAAATAAAAATGTTACTAAAACGTTAAAATTAAGCATAAATAAAAACTAATTTAAATTATTAATAAAAACATTATAGTCTCAAAATACTAAAATTATTATATTATATTATATTATATTATATTATATTAGGCCTAAGGAAACTGTTCAAGACGTGTTTGTTGGCAACAGGTCGTGTGGATAGAAGTCAGCCTGTCTAATGAAGCGCAGAATATTCATCAGCTGAAAAACTCAACTGATCATCCCAGACATTTCCCTTTAAAGAAAAATGGCCTCTTTACTTTAACAAATTGATTTTTTTTTCCATTTTGCTTTTGCTATGGCTAATACATCTAATTGTAAAAGCCAGTGGACCTTAAAAAGGTTTCTCCACTATGGAAGTGTGTCCGCGGCAGAGGACGAGGAGACTACCAATTACTACAGTCCTAATAGTGCATCTGTCTGTATTCTGATGGACGAGCACTACGGCACGCAAGCACGCTGTAATGGCTTTACATCAAATTGTGTTGGCACGGCTCGAAATGGACTTTACTTGAATTTACTGTCTAGTAATGCAGTGTGCAGATATTGACCCCCGACTCGCCGTGTAGCACAGGTAATGAGGACTAGAGAGTGAGCGAGGGATGAACACAGGAGAGCTTAGTTTACCGTAAAATCATCAGGTATCAGAAGGGAAGTCCAACAGATCACATGATCCCAACTGATGGCTCACAGGTCTGTTCTGATCGGGATAGCTGCACAAAATAAAAAATAAATAATGTTAATAATAAAATAACATTTTAAATCAAACATAGTAGCCTGAAGCTGACTTTACGTGAGGATAAACATGGTTTGTGATGACTAGGATTTGTTTGTGTGATGAAGCACTGGCTGCTGAGAGCATGAAACCTAATGTTTAGAGACCAAATGATCAATTTTCCTGTTCAGTCAAGTCATGTTAATAATGCAT